TTCCCTACATTTAAGTGGGCTGTGCTGACAAGTGTATAAGAGCAGATTTGTCCCTAAACTTTGCTCTGGCCTTGGCTATGCCGGTAACAATTTTAACTGGGTGGTCCCAACTTAGACTGACCCGCAAGAAACCTGGCCAGTTTCTTTTTCCCCTTGTCTACAGTTGTAAGACTTGTAGAACTGCAGATACAACCAGACAATGGCCAGTTCTCAGATATTAGAGATACTCTGTTATCTTCAAGGACTTCACAGATGCCACACCTGCCAACTCTCACTTCCTTGTTCTCCCCACTGTCTTCACCAGCCATAAAGCACCAGGTTCCCTTAGGGTCCTGACAGAGGCCATGTATTCTGAGACCGGAATAGGGAGGCTTGGAGGAGGGGTGGCAGGTAATGAACTCCCCAACTACTGCTCAGGCTTTAGTCACTCCTACTCCCAGGGGTCCTGGGGCAGTTGCCCTCTTCCATTGACCTGCACTGCAGGTCTTTCCTTTCCTTGTCTGGGTTGGTGCCTACAACCACAGACCCGAAGACCTGTAGAGAGACAGGAGACAGATGGTGAATGAGGGATTGAGGAGTGATTGAGTGGCAATGAGGGCACTGATTCTTTTCCGACTCTAGCTGTCAATACTTTCCCAGCTCCTGCCATACCCTTGCCCTTTCCCTTGCTTCTCTGATCCCCCTCTACAGCTCCTCCCTAACAGCCTCCTTTTTTTTTTTAACCACTGAGAAATGGCAGAGAGAGATTATTTCCAAAGTGTTTCTATGTTTCCCAATCTTCCTTCCAAATTTCTATCTCAGTTTTCCTTGTGGGGTTCAGGACAGTGATGTTCCGAAGGCATATCCAGCTTTGCTCAGGTCTCTACCTTCCAAACCCTCACCCCAGGGCACCCAGATAGAACGAGCCCATCACTCATTCTGAAAACGGTGATGGTAGAGTCAGGGAGCATGGCAGAAATGTCCAGAGCGTTCCTGCCACCCCTTCCCTTTCCACATACACAAAAAGACCACATTTTCCTGCAATGCAAGAGACAAATTATTTCCAAACTCATTAAAAATTTTGGTCCATGTTACCTCCTCTCAACTCTCCCTAGTTCAGGAGTCACTCCTGCCCTCTAGGGAGCTGGTCTCCAGACTGAACTTCAGTCCACCTCCTCTGTAGCATCTCTCCCGCTCCCCTCCCCCTCATTCCCCTCCCCCCACATCCCCCCCTGCAAAAAGGACGAAGGGGGAGAAGAGTAGGCCTGGTCCCTTTGCAAGGCGGTCTGCCCTCCCTATCCTAGGTTCACAGGCGTTGCCCTCCTCCCTCCACCCTGGAAGGATCAGACCATTTCCCCTCCATCCCCTTCTGCTAGCCTTTTCCCTCTGTCAGATGTCCCCTGATAACCTGCCTCCTAAGAGATCCCAACTGGTACCCATTCTTATCCTCTGGCTCCTCTCCATCTCCTCCCACCAAGCCTTCCATCTCTTGCACCAAATGGATGGGCATCAGGGAAGGGGTAGAGAGAATCTAGTCCTGGACCTGCTCTGGTCTTTGCCCTCTGCCACCCCCACCCCAGGTGTCCGCAGGAGGCAGTGAATTTGTGACCATCTCAGGGAGATGCCTCCTTCTCACATTTATTGCTGCCATAAGCCAGTACTTATCCAGGGAAATAAGAGATGGTACCCAGACCTCTCCCCCAACACTCACACAATTTTCTGAGCCAAAACAAATAAGGGTGGGAGGAGGGTGGCATCTGGAAAGCAGACCGGATCCTGTGTAGCCTCTGTCTGTTACTACCCCTACCTCAGGTGTCTCCTTCCCCACTCTGGCTAGTACCGACCTGCGACCTTGCGGGGCTATAGGGCAGTTGTCCCCTTGGTCCCTCAGTCTGAAATCTATCTTCCTCCATGGAAATAGGGAGCTGATACCTGAAAGAGAGGGACTTCTGCACGCGTTGGCTCCCGATCACATGAAGGAAACGTCACCAGTGGGCTCGGGTCCCTAGTTCTCCCTCCTGCAGGAAGTGCCTCAGGAGTCAGCCCCCTTCTTCCCTTCACTGGCCCCCTCCCACCTCACCCTTCTTCAGTATCCTCCCCTGACCGCTTGAGGCCCTGTCACTCATTTTGGTCGTGGCTAATCCCAGAGGTCAAATGGGGCCCCTTCTCCCTGTGGTATGTATTTGTTCTTCTGTCTTATCAGGGGCTGTGTCTTCTCCCAGGGCTACTGGCCCCACTGATCCATCTCTGGAATTTCTTTCTTTCTCTCGTTTGATCTCAAAGCACCTACCCCCTCCATCTACTTCTCCACTCTGACACTGGTGCTCACTCCTGTCTTCCAGACCTTCACATAACAGGTACAGGGTGCATTGGTAGGTAGGGAAGCAGGTAGTTGAAATAGGGATTTTATTTTCTTCTAAATAATTATTTTTCAGTTTTATTTAACTTATTTCCCTCACCGTGCATTATTTTTATAAGCAAAAAGTTAAATAAAGCTATTTTCATTTGGGAAAAAGAACATGTTTAAGGTAGAGGAAAAACCCAACATCCCCAAATTGTGAGAGCAACTTAAGTTCCTAGTATTAATTTTTACTAGAAAATAGATTTGATTGTCTACTTATAAAAGAATTCTTTAAGTTTTCATAAATAGCTGGTTCTGTCATGTTCTACCGAAAATACGTGTATTTAATGTTCCCAAACAATAGCTGAGTGTTAAGTGCACTTGCTGGAACATGATGGCTAACACAATATCAGTCTTGAAAATTTGGCCCAGGGCTATTTTCATTCAGAGGTTTAGCTGTGTGGCAAGGCAGCTGAGGATCTGAGGGGTGCCGACATGCTCTGACCTTCCCTGCCCTATCAAGAGGGGAGGAATATGCTGTCCCGACCCCTTCTCACCTTTCAGAGCCTCTCATCCTTTGCATTCAGGCACCTGACTGTTGCTTACCCAAAAATATACATGGAGAGGTGACCAAGGTGGTGACTTCAATAAATGCTTTTGGCTCCTTCCCTCCCTCCCCCAAATTCCCACAGAGATTATGCAACTCCAGGCAGAGATGGGAATGCTGTTCTGACAACTGGAAACCAAAACCGATCCTTTCTAGACCCCTGCAGCAGAGGGTTTCCATAAAGCCTGTAGAAGTGATTGCTGGGGCGAGAGCCTCCAGACCTGCTTGCTGTCTACCCTTATTCCCAGTGCCCAGGTGGAAACTTCCTTGACCCTGTCTACTGCTTACCACCTAACTAAGGAGATGCAGCCTGCTGGTCTTTCAACTCTATTATCTTTACCTCCAGGGCACCTAGGAGGAGCCTAGCCACGCTGAAGAGTTGCTGCCTGCCAGTCCACACCCACCCTGGTGCTCTCTCAGCCAGATTTAGACCGGTGTCTAAGGAACTCTGACAGGCTGACCATAACCTAGACCACCTAGACCAAGTGTTTTCAGCTGAGGAAGTCTGTGGACCACCTGAAATAATGTGCAAGGTAGCATGTGCTTAGAAGGTAGTAGAGTATGTAGACTTATGAAAAGAAGAGCTGTACCCTAGGAGCCTCAGAAACCCTGATACATGATCAGGTTGACATCATGAAAAAGCAGAAGCTATGAGATAGAGAAAAGACAGAAGAAGAAGGAGCTACTTGGGAATGAGACAGGAAGGAGAAGAGACAAATAGCAGCTGAGCTATGTTAGAGGGAGAGCACTTACTCCTTGGGTTCAGGCATTCTTAACTAAAGAAACCCCTGGAGTTATGTTCAAAATATTGTGTGCGTGTGTGGGGGGGGTAGGGTATACACATTTTTACTGGGTGTGTACATTTGCCTAGGATAGGATCCATTACTTTCATTAGATGCTCAAAGGGGTAATACTAAAAAAAGGGAGAAGGTCAACTGGCCTAGAAAATATATTTTCATATACATCTTTTTCTCAAATAGGACTATGTCTATTTCTTAGGAGAAATTAACAGAACAATTAGTCATTTTAAAGTGTACAACTCAGTGGCATATAGTACATTCATGATGTTGTGAATCTATCACCTCTGTCTAGTTCCAAAACATTTTCATCAACTCCATACCCATTAAGCAGTCACTCCCAATTCTCCTCTTCCCCTAGTACCTAGCAACAACTAATCTACCTTCTGCCTCTATGGAATTATCTACTTTGGATATTTCATATAAATGGAATCATTCAATATTTGACCATTTGTGCCTGGCTTCTTTCACTTAGCATAATGTTTTCAAGGTTCATTCACATTGTAGCATGTACAGTATTTCATTCCTTTTTATGGCTGAATAATATTTCATTGTATGTCTATATCATATTTTGTTTATCCATTCAAACATTGATGGATATCTGGGTTGTTTCCACCTTTTGGCTAGTGTGAATAGTGTTGCCTTAAATATTTGTGTATAAGTTTTTATGTGGATGTATGTTTTTATTTCTCCTGGGTATATGCCTAGGAATGGAATTGCTGGGTCATATGGTATTCTATAGCTAACTATTTGGGGAACTGCCAAACGGTTTTCCACAGTGGCTGCAACATTTTGCATTCCTACCAGCAATGTATGAGGGTTCCAATTTCTCCACATTCTCCAAAGCAATTGTTAATTTCCATTTTTAATTTTTATAATCCTAGTGGGTGAGAAGTGTCTTTGATTTTCATTTTCCTAATGACTAATGATATTGAGCATCTTATCATGTGTTTATTGGATATTTATATATCTTCTTTAGAGAAATATATATTCAACTCCTTTTCCCATTTTTAATTGGGCTTTTTGTT